AGTTGGATCCTTCATCTCTTCTTAGACATTAAACTTCCCTACTATAAACAAAACGCTTCAATTCTCTAAAACAGAAAAATGTTTCATTAAAAAGATGAGAGTGACCAAAGGACACTATCCTTGGCCTCTCCAACACTTGTCCTCTTGCCCTTCTTTCCACTCTTATTAAAACAAAAGATATGTTGCTCACCCAGCTCCACAAGAACCTGGCTAGAGGTATGTCACCCCTACCTTGGAACAATGGCTACTGCAAAAATAAACATATTTTTAACTAAATGAAAAATGCTTGAGAGCTAGAACCTAATCACGCAAGATGTAAGTTCAAATATAATTACTATAACCTCAGCATATCTGGTTGAGCCCGGATACTGTCAATCTCTTACTTTCCTTCAAATTTCCTCCCTCTTTTTCCTTGATCCTAAACCAATCCCCTCTCCCCCAAATTGCCACCAATGTGCTTCCAATCCTAATCCCTGCCCTCCCACTCAGCATTACAAGCAATAGCCCTCTTCCTTATCTACAGACGTCAAGTCAAGTCAAGACTCTCTATCTAGACACATAGCTCCTGTCATGCCACTACCTACGTTCACCCTGTCACAGTTAAAGGCGGAACAGTTACACTATCCACTGTGGTCCAAGGTTATATATGCCCTAGAATCCGGAGATGTGGTAAATTTGCCAAAATTACCTCTACCACTCTCACAGTTTGAGCTGCGGCACGACATACTATATTGCTCAGTGAAAACACAACAAGAGTCAATCTCTCAAATTGTTATTCCTACAGCATTAAATGAATACATTCTCACCCTTTTCCAAGATGCACCCCGAGCTGGGCATCCAGGGCGAGACAGATGTCCAACAGAAATTAGACAAAAATATTATTGGAAAACTATGAGGACCGACATCGAGTATCACATTACTAAATGTTTATCTTGTGCAAAACACAAAGGAACAACGATGGATCCAGCTCCAATCTTAGAATACCCGACCCCTGAACGTCCATGGGATACATTTGCGATCGATTTATTGCAACTACGAAAAAGCCATCAAGGCTTTAGTTACGTACTTGTCTGCGTTGACCATTTCTCTAGATTTGTGGTACTAGCACCATTGCAGACCAAGTTGGCCGAAACAGTGGCTCATGCAGCAGTCACTCATCTAATCTGTCCTCTTCTACACGTACACTGTAGAGTGATACTCTCAGATAACGGGGCAAAATTTAAGAATCAACTCTTAACTGCAATATGTCAACAATATGACATCACACAAACCTTCACAACTGCCTACCATCCATCTTCAAATGGTTTGGCCGAGCGTACAAATAGAAAAATTCTTGAGATTCTCCAACATGTGGTGAATCCAATGCATAGTTCGTGGGAGGACTGGCTTCCACAGGTTGCAGCGTCCATCAATTGATCTATAAATAGCTTTACAGGCAAATCGCTACACTACATAATTTACGGTACCGATAAACGCTTGCTATATGATCTACTAGCAGGAACCCCAGAATCTGTGTACAACATGGATGACTATGCCAAGAAGCAAATCAATGTTTTCACAAGCATCCATGGAAAAGTACGAAAACACTTAGTAGCCTCGCGTGCTGAAATGATCTGCAAGCAACATAAAAAAGCTATGCCTATAACTCTAGAAATAGGAGACAAAGTAATGATAAAGACGCCGGAACGCATATCAAAACTCTTGCCTAAATTCACAGGCCTGTACGTGATTAGAGCGAAAGAACATGGAAACAAATTGCAAGTAGTTGAGCCAACGTCAAATGTCACGGATATAGTACATGTAGATAGAAAGAAAAAAGTCAGCAGAGACTTAATAGGGATCTCAAATGTCAGTCAGGAACATCCTACTTCTACTACAACAGATCCTCAGCAAAATATAACAACAGACAATAATACATATCGTCAAAAACTACGATCAGCAAACAAAAATCGTTAAGTATCCTCGCCTCTTTCAGACATGGCTTGGATATCACTACTACTATTGGTCTGGAGCACGGTGACAACAGCAGCATCCCCAGCAGACGTCGTCAAACACGGAACTTTAGTTGCCGCACTAGGCAAAGTACTGGTAGTACAAGACGTTTTAACTGTTAAGTACGAGCTCCATGACTTAATGCGCATGCCAGTGCATCTGACGTCAATAGTTGTCCACATTGAAACAGCGATGAAAACTCTGCAAGATCTCGAACAGCAATATACAATCTCTACAACACTCTGTCAGACCATCTCTCTTCAACACGACCGTATGAACAGTCTACTCAAGCGAGTAAACCACTTCGAGGGAAAGCTCCCTATATCTCCCGAAGACATCGGGAAGAATGTACATTTTCAGCGGTGTCAAAAACGTGGTCTGTTTAACTTTGTAGGGTTAATAAGTAACACCTTATTTGGTACTGGAACCGCCGAAGATGTAGCTAAACTAGGGAATAAAATTAATGCAGTTTTAGAAGCCGTTAAGAAACAAAATATGGCCATTGAACAGTCCTACAAGGCAGTACAAACTCTGACCTCTCCCATGAATGCTATTGTTGACGAAACTAATCAACTAACACGAGTTGTCCAAGGATTCACACTATCAGAATCTACACTGGACTGGTTATTCTGCTTCACAGAATATATGCATGCAGCTGAGGCCTCGGTACAAGCTTTCATAGAAATCAACAATAGGCTTATAGCTGATCTTTTAAATGTAGGGTTAGGTCGTGTTGATGCACAGTTGTTGCCAGTTGGTCAACTAATTGCTGCTTTGCATATAGCTGAAACTAAATATCATCTAACTCCTATCTTTCAGGAGCATGAAGTGGAATATTATTACCCCTTATTAGAGGCAACCTTAACACATAAGGAAATAGTAATACACATTCCACTAAAATCACAAAAAAAAAAATTGATGCATGGCATTTGGAACCATTTCCATTGAAAGCGAATGAGGGACTATTAATTCTGAACAAACAAACTGAACTAATAGTAGTATCAGAGGATTTTTCATTAGTTGCTGTGACTAAGCATGAAGTCATTAGTCATTGTAAGTCAACTTATTTACACTTGCATGTTTGTCCTGCATATGCCTTCGCTTTCACAGAGGCTGCAGAGGCTACATGTGAATTAGCTATAGCAAAAACTAATGCCTCTACAGCTCTACAACAAAGTGCATACACTCCAATAACACATAGGTTAATGTTTCACGCACATGTCAATAATGTGCAACATTTTGTTTTCCCAAATCAAATCAGTGTGATACTTATATGTCAGGATGTAGGAAAAGATTTAGTAGTAGAAGGTTATCATGTAGCATCAGTCTATTGTGAAATTAGCAGGAATTCAATCACAACATTGCCTACTCGCCATCATCTTGCATTTGTCACAAACATTACTTCTGAACTGGTTCCCATACAATTTTCCTTAAATATAAATTTCAGTAATCTTCATATTGTTTCTGATAAGCTTAAACTTCTATCTTACATTAATGAGACACAGTTTCCTGACTTACAAGATTCTCTTCCTTTATATTTATCTTCCTGTATAATCTTACCTGGTTTCATTATACTTACCATCGTATTTATCAGTTCCTTGATTGTTATGATAATTGGTAACAGGAAGTTTTCTTCCAGGTACACAATAGTTTTTAAGAAGACTTTTCGGAAGGAATTGCAAAAGCATGTGCAAGAAGCAAAGGTTTAGCTAAAGCACACTTTCTTGTAACAAGGTTAGGTACACCTAGGATTTAAACCGTGAGGTCTCGGTTGGAGGTGGCCGAGCGGTGTAACAGCACAATTTGTATTATATAAATATTCACCCAAATGTATAATACCAAATTATTTACTAAGTTATTCAACAATGACTCAGTAGTTGTTCATTTCATACATGCTGAGGTCTATAACTTCATCAGAGGTTGAGCGAGGTCAAGCTGATTTTGCAAATAACTCACCCTCTCCACCTTGACTCTCACGCCTGAGTGAGAGGAGAGAGCAGGCAGACTAATATCACTTGTTACCCAGTGAACACCTCACTGAAGTGTTCTCCTATATAAGGGCACTTCCCCTAGTAGAGAAGGTATAATATACTCTCAACTGAACTAAGTACCCGTGAAACTATATTTTTCTACAATAAAGAAAAACCAGCAAAGTGTTTACTTCAGCCCAGCCACTAACTAGTTCCAGAACTACTGTATATATTTGTGTGTAATATATACAAAACAAGGACCAACACAACCTAACATAACATAACCTAATATTATCTCAACTACTTTGGGATAGATTTTGTCCTATGGTGGTTAAAAAAAAAAAAAAAAAAAAAAAAAATATATATATATATATATATATATATATATATATATATATATATATATATATATATATATATATATATATATATATATATATATATATATATATATATATATATATAGCGTCGTTTACCATTATAAGATAGGTAATAATTGGACAATTTGTATAATGGTGGAAAAGAGAGAACCATTTGTTTCATATCGAGAAGTTTTCAAATAAAATTAATGTCTAATAACCAAATACAGTAGGAACAGTACAGAAGGCATAATGGAGATAGAATAGTTATTGTACTGTGTAAACGCCAATACCGCTTTATATTGCATGCAAAACGTTTCCCCTTTGGTATATCTAAGAATATTTACTTCAGAAAATATATGTCGATCCATGTCGATCAGGTAAAGTCCAAATCACAGTTTATTATCATAAATTATATATTTTTTTATTTATACAATCCCTGGTGCGGATAAATGCACAAAAATGAATGAATAATTAAGACAAAAATTGATCTTTAACTCAAAATCTAAATATATATATATATATATAAATATATATATATATATATATATATATATATATATATATATATATATATATATATATATTATATATATATATATGAGAGAGAGAGGTGTAACTCCCAGTAGTGTTATTGGCATCATCTCGCTGCATCACGATAAATTCACCTATTGAGCCGTTTTCTCATACTTCTTGTTTACACTCTTGTTGATAAGATGTCATGTAGAGGATATGTTTATCTTCCAATAAAATATGTCATGGAACAAGTAATGAATGTCAAGAGAGCTTTACTTCTTTGTTAAAATCGTGTGCAGTATAATAGTGTATATAAATTCACACAGTAACATTAATAGTTATTTAAATTTTGACTGATTATTATCTAAATTTTGGACTAGCCTACAAAATATATAACATTCAAACCTCAGAATGCTCAAAGAATAACATGCGACACAGAACGCTCGAAATGCTGGGTGATTTTACGGTTAGAGGTAAGAGCACCTCTCTCCTCGAACTCCTCCAGCTCCTGCTAGTACTTGGCCAAATTCAAAGCGGCAATCTCTTCGGCCTCCTCGATCTGGCGCTTGTAGGTTCTAACCTTTTGTTGCAGCTTGTCGACAAGGTCCTGCATCTTCTCGTGGTTCTTCCTGTCCTCATCGGACTGGAAGCTGAGTTCCTTCATTCGCCTCTCGCACTTTCTAAGGTTCTGCTGGGCCTCAGAGTGGTGCCTCTTGGTCCAATTGTCCTTCCAGTTCACGAACACGATTTTCCATCTTAACGAAGGCAGCCTTCTCCTGTCTTCTGGAGTGCCTCTCACTCTCTTCAAGACGAACCTGGAGTTCCTTAACTGTGATTTCCAAGCCCTTGAGCATCTTCTCCTGGATTTGGGCGTGTTCCTGCTCGTTTCGCAGTTCATACCAGGCGAGCAGCGTCAATCATCGCCTTCTTAGCTTTATCTTCAGAATTTCTTGATTCACTGAGCATTTCATCTAAGTCGGCCTGTGAGATAAATAAATAAAAGTGACTACAGATGGCAGTGTTTTATAATGTGTACACTAATTGTGGATAATATTCATCAAAGAATACAGTATACTATACAGTATATGCATATGTCTGTGTCAGTCATGTTACAGATGATTGCAGTATAGTGATTTCAAAGTACGAGTACAGTATAACTTAATTTTGAGAAAATTCGAACTAATCTGCACAGTGGAGCAATCATGAAATTGAATACACGTATAATACAAACCATACTAAGAATAGCATCAGCACATGTTTGTGTATATATATTATCAGTTACCGTTGTGAGAGCGGTTTTCTTAGAAATAAATATGAAAGCTGTATACCCTCTGTAATAATTTGTTTATTTTTGCCTTGTATACGAATTATATTACTTCGATATAACTTCTAATATTTTACAATCATATAATATCATATACTTATAGAAAGAAGTTTTGAGTTATGAATAATCTAATTGTAAAGATGTATTGTTTTGATTTTGTCCTTTCTTCTTCCTCCGAGAACAGAACATGGAGATGTGAGATCAGGAAATTGACTGTAATCTATTTTCATCCATCGTTCATATTATATTTTGGCGTTGGTTTACCCATTAGTATTATGACTGAATGTTAGACGATACTTTATGAACGGAGGAAGAGCAGCTTTATAAAATTAGAGCGGATAAATGACTAAAATATGCAATAAGTGGTAGTTGTTTTAAGTCGGTATTTCTTTTATAATCTGATCAATTTACACAATTTAATGAATAGTTTCCTTAGGTGTAGCTTCACAAAATGGAGTTGTATTATTGCTATCCTAGACTGTCAGCCAGAGGTAGCCAGGATTGGCCGCATGATTCTGGTCTGTTAACCAAAGTTGTTATAGCAGAATGTCTGAGTAATGATCCTAGGAGTTTAGGCACTGCTGAGAAGAGTTATTCAGTAAAGGCTGTAACTACTCACACATTATATATATATATATATATATATATATATATATATATATATATATATATATATATATATATATATATATATATATATATATATAGATATTGATAAAATCACACAAAGGAAAGAGAAATAACTGGAACACCTTAGCTTTCGTCTTTACTCAAGACATCTTCAGTTGCCTCTGAAGATGTTTTGACTAAAACTTATGTGTTATCAAATTTATCTTATCACTTTTCATCGTGGATATATATATATATATATATATATATATATATATATATATATATATATATATATATATATATATATATATATATATATATATATATATATATATATATATATATTTCATTAGCCCAATAAAGCACGCGGACTTCTACATACAATCAACACCTCAACCCACCAGGATCCTCGATCCTCGTGTTTCGAAGCCAGATTTGGTAAAACGTTACTCTGACCACCTACGTGATACAGGTAGTCCCCATTAGAGGTTCACGGCGCCATAAGCTCGTTGAACAGGCTTTGTGTGAAATATAACAAAGTCTAGGACTTGTTTTAGTATCCTGGTGGTCCAGAGGTAGTGTTCCCCGGTCACAGTCATGGGTTCGTGGGCCGTGGGTACGAATCCTGGCGGGTTGAGGTATATATATATACATATGTATATATATATATATATTGTTAAAAACTTCGGTGAGTATGACAAATCACTTACTTGGAGTGTCTGGTGTTCTCCCTCCAGTTTCCTCTTGGATGCACTGAGCAAACTATTTTCGGAAGAAAGTTTAGTTGCTATAGTATTGGCGTCAGACAGTTCAGACTCGGCGTTGCGGCGACCACGATCAGATTGTTCAAGAAGTGTGCGGGCTTCCTCCAATTCGCCCTGAAGAGAATTGGCACGACGCTCGGAAACACTGAGCTGTTCTCGGTACTCAGAGGCAAGGCGGCGCTCCTCGTCGTATCGGGTCTGTAGTTCTTTATATTCACCCTGAGTCTTCTTGACAAACTTCTGCATATCAGCATTGGTTTTATTGGAATGGTCTAGTGCAGCCTCAAGCTCGTGGATGTCAGTCTCAAGTTTCTTTTTCATGTGGAGAGCTTCGGTCTTGGCTTTGGCTTCAGCTTCGAGGGATGCTTGCATAGAGTCCATGGCACGCTGATGGCATTTGCTGAAATTTGTAAGCGAGAATTAGAAAGGAAATTAATGCTACGTGTTTAAATGGTGTCTTTCGACTTTACTCCAGTTTTAACATAAATGTGGTGGAGCAAGTACAGTGAAGTACACCCAACCATACAAGAAACCATGTTCTTGTCTACCTTAATTTAAGTTTTATGGTTGAGTGTAAACCAAGTTGCTGTTATATAATCGGACAAAACTTAAATCAGATCCAACATTACCTTATCAAAAACAGTACAATATACTCATTTTTATGTTGTTTTAAGTTTCACTCCTTTCTGAGTTATGGAACCATTTGTGTACTGTAGCAATAATACACCTTTAGTATTTATACAGTAAAAGATTTCATACAACGTCTTCTCCATCGCCGAATGACATGTACATTACACCTATAAGTTGCTGCTTTTCTTCTATTTTATTATAATTTCATAAAACCTACAATTCACGCATTCTAATTGCACTATTTCCCATACAATTGTCTTTTATTATAACAGAAACACTTATAATAAATGTGTATATCACTCACCGGGTATTATCGAATTCCTCTTCCTTTTCTTGAATGCGTCGATCAATCTCCTGCCTGACCTGATCGAGCTCAAGCTGGTTACGAAGTACCTTATTCTCTTCCTGTTCCAGAGCAGTTTCGGCCTCCTCAAGAGCGGCCTGAAGCTCTTCCTTCTCGGCCTCGTAACGTTTAGCAAGTTTCTCAGACTCATGAAGGTTACGGCCACCTTCGGCAACTTGATCTGAAAGGCTCCTTATTTCATCAGAAAGACCCTTGTTCTCACGGCGAATTGATTCGAATTGTTCAAGTTTCTCTTCGTAAACGGCATTGAGGTGGAAGTTCTCGGTAGACAAATTACGATGCTCCTTTTGGGAAGCATCAAGTTCAGCTGCAAGGTCGTCAACCTTCAATTTCCATTCACCAATGATTTTTTCAAAGTTCTTTTGTTTCTTCTCTGCGGCATAAGCCAGAGTCTGTCCCCTTTCCACTGCAATTTGCATTTCTTCGAACTCTGCTAAAGTCCTTTGTTTGTTTTTTTCCAGATTCAAATTTTTAACATTAAGCTGTTCAATTTGAGCTTCGGCCTCTTCAAGACGGCAAGAGAGTTTAATACGAGCAGCCTCAAGTTCTTCAGCTCGAGCAACACCCTCTGATTCGTACTTGGAGCGCCACATAAGAACTTCAGCACTAGCCTTGGATAGCATGCGCTGCATGTCAGTCTTTATTTCATTTTCTTCATCAAGTTGTTCACGAAGACCATCGATATCGTGCTCCAAGTTCCTGTATTTACCAAGAAGAGTGGCGCGCAACTGTGGGTGGAGAGTAAGTAAGGTGAACATTAAACTGGCCGCTGTGAAAGACAAAGGTTTATTCAGTATCAAGGACACAATTACTCCATTACTAAAAACTTACCCTGCATTCCTCTTCTGCAACCTTCTTGGTATCGTCCAGATGGTTAGAAAGCGACAGTTTAAGCTTGGATAGTGAACCTAATTGAGCCTCTGCTTCTTCAAGTTGTCGCAGAAGGTCAGCATTCTCGAGAGCAAGCTTCTTCTTGGTGGCGTCATAGTCATTGAGGGTACGGAGTCCTTCTTCATTTTTAACCTGGAGTTCGTGGATCTGATGTTGCAGTTGTTTGTTTATCTTCTCAGCATCGGACTGAAACATAACAACCACAAGATTATAGTTTCTATTGTATGAAAAGTGGCATGGAGTTAAACGGTAATATTGTAATTTGTACATTTGTTATGCTTGAAGTAATGGGCATCGTTACTTATTGGTAAATAATTAAATATGGATGAGTTTATAGAGAGTGGGGCCTCAGAAAATACACACACACACACACACACACACACACACCGCGAAAATCTGAGGGACTGTGTATATATACCTTTTTTGTGGCCCCTGTATATAGAGAAAACTTGACACACCCCAACCACGACATAAATACTGTTAAGTCTTTTCATTATGCAAATATCACACTCTATCTCCACCCCCCAGTAGAAAATGAAGTATGGTTATGGGATTGGATAATGTGACAGTATTTGTGGAAGCAAATTTTAATCAATCTACATCACGTTATTTATGATTTGCTTTCTAACTGACCAATCACAAACCAAGAAGAAAGAGAGGGCGGGGCTGTTTGACTCATGATGAAAATCTACATACAAAAAATCATACACCATATAATGTTATCTTTAAAGTAACTACCAATTTACATTATGTCTCATGCTATTTACACACGACACTTGTCCACAGATTTTCGATCGGATATACGGGAATATGAACATTCAGACAGTAGAACAACACCCCCCTCCCCAGCTATGACTGGTAGTAGACTCACAACAATGACCCAGTAGACCACAAGAGACCTCATGACCACACAAGCTAGCACTTACAACACTATACAGTATACGTTCAAATATTACCAGATAACACATACGAGACACCACGTGTTATAACTCTAGATAACACATATTAGTCATCACATACTTCATAATTCTACATAACACGTATTAGACATCACATATATCACAAATCCACATCACACTTAAGAAATATGACATGAATCATAACTTCACATAACGCATATGAGACACAACAGCACCACATGAGATCCTCAACAACACCACCAGAGAAGGAAGTACTACAACCATATGAGATCCTCTACAACACCACCAGAGAGGGAAGTATTATAACCATATGAGATCCTCTACAACACCACCAGAGAAGGAAGTACTACAACCACATGAGATCCTCTACACACAAAGTACTACATACATGAATCCTCTACACACCAGAAATATTACAACCATATAGGTCTCTAGCAACACCCAGAGAAGGAAGTACTACAACCA